TAGGAGTGGAGCAAAACGCTGCGTCAAAAAATGTCGCATCAAAGTCTTCGAAACCCTGCTCTAGTTATGTGTACCCACGACCCAAACAGATCCAAGGTTCCTGAAAGAAGAACCCCAGCCCTGACATAAAAGCACAGTCAGCCCAAAGGCCCCAGAACGATACCCCAAACCCTAAACGCTAAGCCCTAAACCCTAAAACCTTAAAGCCCTAAACCCGAAACCCTAAAGCAATGCCAAAGCCTCAGAGACCTTGCGCCAGGTGACGCGGCGAAGGCAGCGGGCCAGATGCTCCTTTTCCGGGACTTGATCAACGAGACGGCACGTACTTGGGAGGGTTTCGAGTTTGGGGTTTCCGCTAAGCCACTTACATCCTAAACGGCCCTAAACCCTCGAATCCTACAACCGAGAAGCTCACCCCGTCAACCCTAAACCCAAACCCTGCACGCCCGCCATAATATAGGGGCCTTCGTAATTACCTATACTATTTTGGGGGCGTTCCTTACTCTAATTATAGTAGACTGGGCCCCAAACCCTGTTTTAACTATAATGCCCCTACATTACTTGACCAAGCCCTTAAACACACCATCGCTGTGATCCTCGGCACGGAAGCGGTTCTTAGTAGCTGAGCAGGTAACCTTTAACCTTTAGGGTTTTGTATCAACCTACCATAGTTGAAAACGTTAGCATTTTGGGGGCTACTTGGAGGTGCAGGGGTAGTCAGATTATGAGTCCCCTCATCTGGGTTATACGTTACAAGCATAGTTACCCTGCTTATAACTACCCATGAACCTCCAAGTAGGGCACTCAGCCTCTAAGGGTGGTTGAAGATTTCTGGGCTTGGGTCGTCTCTGACATCCCAGCACTCTGCAGACCAGCGCGCCGCAACCTCAAGCCCAGGGCCGTAAGAGCTGCATGGGAGTTGATACTTTTGGGGTTTAGAGTTTGGGGTTTGGGCAACAGCCCCTAAACTCTAAGCTAGACTCGAACATGGGACCTAAGAAGCACCCAGCCAAGCGCATCAAAACCCCCAAGGACTTGATCCACGAGCCGAAGATCAAATCCTGAAGCTATCGAGTTTGTTCCGGTGGTTTCGGCTGCGGCTTAACACAACAGAACAATAATACAGTAGTAATAACCATAATCATAGTCAGAATAATGCTACTAATACTAATCAGCATAATCAGAACAACAACAAATGATAGAAGTACTTATTACACTATCAGTAATGACAACAATAACAATAGTAGTAAGGAGCCGAAACAGTACTTGGCCGAAGGGCAGGACCACATAAAAATTGGCCTGCGCGCTCTGTGGAGGTCGGTGATGCCATTTCTATCTTCCTCGCCGTGGAGGTACACGCCTGGGCATCACAAGATTAAGGGTGTTAGGGGTTTGGGGCTATCTGATTCCCAGAACCACCACAAACGTGCACCTTGTGAAACAAGACCTCCGGTGCTTCGGGGGCAGTTTTTGGGCCTTGCCGGGTTAATTTGGGGCTTAGGCCTCGATGGTAGGGGAGCTTAGGATTTACATATCCTCTGGGGGGGTTCATAAGGACGAAGAAGGCTTCGACGAAGGGGCTCAGGCTGACTACAACCACAAACTTCATGGTTTAGGGCTTTTTCTTTCTAGCTCTGGCATGATTTGCCCCAAAGCCTTATTCTAAGTATTCAGGCCTCTTCCTTCTAAGCATGTTTACAAGTTGTCAGAAGAGCACCTCGATACTAATGAAGGCACGCCTGTTAGACTATGACGTATAGTCACGACAGGGACATGTTGCAGTAGCTTCGTGCCACATCTCCGTGTATTGCATGCAATCCTATGCAATCCACTGCAACCCGCCACTTTCCATTTGCGTCAAGATCTTGCAGCAGAAAGGGCCGTAGTGCTTGTTACCGTGCCCTAAACCCTAACAGCCACGAACGCCGTGGACGATTGTATAAAATCGAAAGTGGCGCTGTTCTTGAACACGTGGCTCTGAGGCATAAAGCAGCTGCGAAGCCCTCAGATCTAACTTCTAAGTCCCGAAGCCCTTGCAGAACCCTAATTAAACCCTCAAACCTGAGCACCAAACCTTTTAACGCCTATATGGCACCCCTCAACCCTAAACCTTCAACTCATCGTCACTCTCTGGCCTGTCGACCCTGAACTCATAAGGCCTTGACAATTTAAGCAGAGTTTTGGATGGAGTAGCCTCAACCCTGATTCTTCAAACCCCTAGGCCCCAGATTAACATAATTCGATGGGAAGAGGCGGTGCTGTACCTCACAGACTCTGACTGCAGTAGCTGGCGTGTCTCGGCTTCCTTTTGGATCCCTGGAGACTCCGGACAGACGGATGCTAGATTATTGAAGCTCAACATCGCTTGCACATCTTGGATTCCGAGGTTTGGAGACAGTTCTGGGTTTGGAGTTCTCTAAGCAAAATCTGCATCCGGGGTTTGGGGCTTAGAATTCGTGAGGGCGCGGGGCTGCTGGGCTTTCCAAGGGCTACTGTTTTGGCATGTTAGGAAGTTGAGGTTTAGAGTAGGTTCAGGAATTTTGCGGTGAGCCCCGGAGATGGAAATCCGAACACTGATTCGCGGGTAGGCTAGAGCTAGAGGGTTTGAGATTCAGGCTTTCAGGTTTTGATGATGAATTGAGGGAAAGGGCTTTTGTTGCTGGCTGGTGTAGGGAGGGACGAGTTCGTAGCACCCCCACGTGCTGCACTACACGGAGAGTTCAGTGCCATTCCTTGGTGTTCTCTGTTCATAGCGAGAACCATCGATGGGGTTTAGGGTTAATCGCATTGCTGGTCTGCCAGCTAGCAACACAGACATAGAGAGCACAGCCCTGCACATCACATGAGACATGTTTGAGTCGCTAGGAAAATTGGTTTGATTCGGCCGGGATGCCTGTTGGAGAGAACAGAAGAACGTGGTTCAAACTTCTAAACCTGGGTGCTCATTTCCAAAACATCTCTACACCCCAAAACACCAAAGGGTTCCCAAAGCACAAAGCACATGTTGCTGCAGATGCTCAGGCGCGATGTACGATGACTTGCCCAACCGTCAGATCAAGGCCGGACGGTGCAGATATCTAAATATATTTGGTATCTATGTATTTATACATATATATATATATAATATATGCAGACAAATGTGTATATGCATGCATATATGTACGTAGGTAGGTGGGTATCTGTGCAGGCATGTGTGTATGTATACTATTGTTATTGTTGTTATTGTAAAAATTACCATCACTACTAGCGTTTCATGTTTTACTGTTGTTCTTATTAGTTTTGTTCTTCTTTCTATAGAGATATACATGTTAGTTTAATACTGCTTTGTCCGTATAGTTTTGCATTCCTGTCTAGCTGCAAGATCGTTTTCTCATGTTTCGGTGCCGCTAAAAGCTGTAAGTTAGTAGGGCACCGCGGCTGTGTCGGCTTAAACAGCTTTGACGTGATCTTGTTTCTGAGGATTTGGCGATAGGCTTGTAGGGCACTACTATGGCGGTTTCTAGGGTCCGTAGGAGTTTTGAGAAGAGAGGCAGTTTCTAGAGCAAGGTGCTGGATCGCGCAACGTGCAGATCCGAAAAGCCCACGTACAGCCGGAAAGCCGCTCTTCTTTGTGCATCACTTCCCTCTAGCCTAAGGGCCTAAACTTTAGACCCTAACCCTAACCCTAAACCCTGTGTCGAACTTGCTGAATTCTCAAGCAGGTGGTGGTGAAAGACCGCGGTCTCTTTGAGACAACAGATGCAGAGCGCATCTGCGTGCAGCCGCGCACTCGAGCCTTGTTCCTTTCGGGGGGCTTGTGTTGAGGGCTTGCGGCTTGTGAAGTTGTTTTCCGGCACGCCGATATGCAAGAATTCCATGCAGGTGTGAAGCTTTAGATCAGAAAGCTTGAGATACTTCTGATCTCCACCTCCACAGGTTCTGAAGAACAGTGCCTCCAATTCTACACTGTCTCCGGCAAGGGCTCGGTTTGTTTTCCTTTACCCGTAGGGTTCCTAAACCCTATAAGCCCTCAACCCCTAGCCCTAAACCCCCAGGTAAACCCTAAACCCTAAATGCACGCAGTTTTCCAGGGTAGAGCTTGAGGTCAAAAACTGTCGACCTCGGGCAAGTTCTGCCCAACACTTGTCATCGATTTAGTAGGGTAGGGCTTAAGGCTTACAGGGTTTGAGGTTTAGGGCTTATAGGGTTTATAGGGTTTGCGGTTTAGGGTATTTGCATACCAGGACCTTCTAACTGATGTGTTTTTGGGCCCAGGACTAAATACATGTCATTTCGCACGGAGCACATCTAAGGGACTTCCACTGTTGTATAGTTCAGACACATGTAGATCTAGGTTTACAACATCCCATGTCGTTCAAGAGCACATATCGCTAGATAGTCAAGAGGCCCAAGGCCTAGATTCTCGGGCTGCACCTCCTTCGGGTCTTCAATCTGTAGGACGAGCACTCTAGCTCTTACGGAACTTACAGTTCCACCTGTTCTGGAGTATGTGCTTCGGCTCCTGGGATTCTTGGTTTCGCCTCAGAGCTGCTCTCGGTCTCCTTTTTTGCTCGCGACGCCGGCTCGACCTCTTCGGAAAGCCATCGCACGCAGGCGTGCCAAGCATAGCGCTGGAGCGCAGTTTTCCCCAAGGCAGCAGGGTGGCAGGTCAGGGCCAACCTTGGATCGACAGAATGAGTCGTGCTGGACGAGTTTGTTGCACACCAGGGTCACCAGAGACCAATTCTATTGCAGCTTCGTGGCCTTTTCATCCGTCCAACTAAGTCCTCTTCACTATAGTTGGACGTTTGAATCGGGTTGAGCAGCGGTGCGGCGTCGCGAACGAGGTGCTCCAATCTTAGTCGCAAACCGGGACTTCACCCACACATCAGCATGGTGCATGAAGAACCCTGATACTTGGGATTGAGAACACGAGGTGTTCCAATCTTAGTCAGAACCCGGGACTTCGGCCACACAAAAGCATATTGTGCATGAAAAAACCCTGATGCTTGGGATTGAGTTCACGGATTCAGCGTATAGCCGAGCTGCTGATGACATTTTGGGCGAAATTTCCAGAGGAGCTGCTTGTTCCCGATCGCCTCGTTCGCCAGCCAATATAAGGAGTCGAAGTACACCTCGCAGTGATATGCCACTTTCCTGAGTGAGGTCTTGTCCATGATCAGGCCACAGGAAGTGAAAACCATTCGCATGCTTGCCAGGGCCAGGAAGAGGGCTGCCCGAATTCGATCGTGTTGCAATTTGGTCTCTGCAGCCACTCGGTGGGTGACACTTGCCAGCCACCTGATAAGCACCACCGATTCCTGGAGATCCATGGATGTGTTATTCAATCACTCTCAGCCTTATATACGATTGACATTTCACACCAACCAGACGATCTCTATAGATCGACACTAGATCTCAGGAAAAATATCGAATGCATGCGGCCATGACTAATTCTAGAATATCTTATAGGAAAACAAAGTCGAATGCGTGCGGGCACGGAGCAGCTCCGGAAAGATGCTTCTGAGCAAAGGTAGGGAACTCCCCCTTCTTCTTCATTGATTTCAGATTGAAAGCTGGAGCTCGGGATCCTGCATGGCTCGAGAACATGGCGTGTCAATGCTTTCCCAAAGACACTTTCGACCCCAGGCCTGGGATCGAACTCTAGGGCACAGGATCGGATATGCAAGCTGCTTTAGAAACTCCAGGCAGCCAAGGCGCGAACGTTGTTCCTCTTGCATGCAGCCACATACTCAGCATATGCCTGGCTCATGCGGGCTTCCTGTGAAGATCCAGGCCAAACTTTCTTGTCGGTTGTGAGCTCCCAGAGCGCCTCGGATCTTCCCCCCTCTATGAAAAAAAAGAACGGTTTAGAATTAGATCCGGGTGGGTTTAGGGCCTAGGGCAGGAGCTGGGTATTAGGGCAGGAGCAGGTTCTTAGCAGGATACCGTAGCATGATTTTCCATTCACTGGTATAGGGTATTCAGGGCAAGCCACGGGCGTGATTGAATGAACATCTATTGTCCTGACATGTTTTCAGGTGCACTTAGGGTCTAAGATCACAGGATATGCATAACTGGCCCTCGGCAGTTACCATATGGTAAACCCCTCCGAATTTACATCAAAGAAAACCTGCAGTCTACATCCGCTGTTTGGACATGCTGGGCAAAGTAGACACGATTACATGAATACATATTTACCTGGATTTATCGTACACATGAAGACTTCTTTAATTAATGTGAAAGGCTGAATATTCAGATCCCGAATTGCAACCCATGCAGGCATGCAGCTAATATCCTCATTTTCTTCTTAGCCCGACACCCAATAAATCATTAGCTCTACAGAATAAACACTCCCGGCTGGTATCGATCTGTCAAGATCCGGAACTTAAACCCTTGACCCTAAACCTAAACCCTGTACAGTCGGATTCCACTTCCCTGCACAAGCTGGACTGATGCCATAGCCGTGCAGCCGACGCAGCTGCCTCTGGCGCCAGTGCCAGATCAAGGATATGGAGGATATCCGGCCGTATCCGCTCCAATGAGATGCCAGGGATCATGATCCAGGCACTTCGGCGGGCCATGAAGATAAAATCTGTTAGGGAACGCTTCCTGAGATGTCGAAACAGATTATAGTGGTCCGGGATAAAACAAAAAAATATATATTTGCATTTCCGGACAGTCCCGCATAGATGTCGTGCATCTGAAACTCGTCGAGCGATGTGCAGCATCGGGCCCATGTGTGGTGTAGAGGTAAGGGGACTCCTGCAGGGAACTCGCCTCAGGGATTAGTTTGCAAAAAAAAATATTGGCAGAGAGGTCACTTTCCAGGCTTGGGGGCGGTTTTGCGAGTATTACTTGAATGTAGATCGGTCCAAGCGGCGCAACAATGCCAGCAGATATTCTTGGAGACCCAGCTTTGCTCCAAGCATAGAGCCTTCTTGACCCACTGTTGGTCCCCCTTGATGCCCGCTAGCACCGCCCGGTAGCCGCCAGCAAGCTGGTATACCTCCCTGCCGGGATTTCCCCAGGCGTCGAAGCTGTCCGTGTAGCCACGCTGGAGCTGCATGATGCTCCAGACGACATAATGGTCGAGCTGGGCAACCTGGGGTGATCGCACTGGTTGCTTGGTGCTTGACAGCCATGTAGAGTGTAAATATGGCAATATGCACAGCAAAACAATATAGTTCCTGCATGACTTCTGCCGAGGAGGCACAGTTCTGTCCGCCGCTTGTTCGTTGTCGAGGGAACAATGTGTTCAGGGTGGATCCCTTCGTTATCGCACTTCGCATGCTCAATACCAAAAACCCCCGGCGATTGTGGGCTTGGGCGTCGTCGCCGTGGATTTCAAGAGGTATTGTGCGCAGCAGTTCGTTGTCCTAGGGTAACCAGGTAGCTGGCTGCAACATTGCATGGAGTTTTGCAGGGATATAAAAAAAATAGCCCAGGTTCTGACAGAGTCGGCAGCAAGGGATGGTCTTGGAACCACCTGAGCTTGGTGTTTGTGCGTTCGGGTTATAGAGGATGGGACTAGAACTATATATTATATATATAATTGCAGTGTAGTCAGCTCGACTATAGCTCGAACTGGAGCTGCTGAACCCGAAACCTTAAACCCTAAACCCGAAACCCCTAAACCCTAAACCCCTAAAGCCTAAACCCTACACCCTAAACCCTAAGCCCCAAATATACCTGGTTGGATAACCTGAATTCACATTATTCATTAAACCCCTAACGCTGAGAGCTCCGAAGTCTTCTACCTGCTCAACCAAAACACAACCGAAGCCCAATCCCAGCACTGGCTAACAGTGCTAGTCCAGAGTCGAAGTGTAAACGTTCAAGGCCCTGAAATTCAGTCATCGTGCAATCGAGTGGCTGGGTATTGCGAGTGTGCTTCCAGAATTGTTCCAGCTCCTGAGTTGGACGGAATAGAGACTATAGTATTTATTTTATCATGATGGTATTCACAGGATCTTTTGGCATCGAACCTAAGACTTTGGGGATTTCAGGGTTTCAGGGTCAAAGGCGGTGGATATTATACATATACAGGCCCTAGGACAACCCTAGAACAACCCAAGAAAGATCTATGAAAGCACCCCGCCCTCCACCCGCAATATGCCTAAATAATTACACATGCAGGCACGTATACACGCACAACCCTAAACCTAAATTAATTATGATAATTATATGTACCAGGTCCTCCGTTGTATTGCTTGCCCATCCAAGGCACGCCCGGCTCGCCACAGAAGAATTCCTGGAATCGATCTCTGGAATATTCATGGATCACATGGAACCTCGGATGCAATGACAGGTCGCAAGGACTTTACAATGCAAGCACACGACACAGCAGCTCACCATCATTAGAAGGAGTCCAGTGTCACTTCATGCGGAAAGTGCATGTGCCAGGTGCCAATGTAGTGTTGATCCTCCGATGGCAGCTTCTTGTCACGTAGGATAACCTCCACCCTCGGCTTTCAGCAGTTCAGACGACATCTTGAATTTCAGGGTACAGGCTTCGAGGTATCGACAAGACACGCTTGAGCGTGTGGAAGCGACTTGCGCCACTCCTGGCGATCGACCCAGCGATTGAAGTTGCGGAAGATGTTTCGATCCACACTGTAGGATGCAAGGTCCACCAGGTTTCGCCTTGGCTCACCAGGTTTAGTAGAGACAGGTACCACTCCATGCCAGATGAAGTCACACCCACACACCCCGGTAACCATGGATCACTACGGTATGGAACAAGATTCGGGAGCATGCAATGTGGCACTCGAGCAGCTATGGCGTCCACGACTTTCTTGATCTTCTCGGTAGTAAGCGCATGAGAAATGTCTAAAAGCTCTTCAATAAGGTCCATGGCTCAGCAATCTCCCCCAGTACCATGCTGCAGGTATACATCGGCTGCATGGCTTATCCTACCAACGTTCTTCGATCTGCGATGCAGACGCGAGCTACTCGGACCATACCAATGTCCAGGGTCCTGAGTTTATTGAGCAGAGGGCTGCTACGTTTAGGGTTTTAGGGTTTAGGGGTTTAGGGGTTTAGGGTTTCGGGTTTAGGGCTGGGGTTTAGACGCTAGAGACCGAGGCTGTTACAAATATACGTATAGATTACACACGGGGCTTCGGCTGGAGGCCTGAGTACTAGTGATCGGATTTCCATGTTATATTTCTCGTTTAATCGATCAGAGATTTGCATGAACTCTGTTTGTTGGCGAGCCTGGCCGTGACAGATTTCCACTACTACCATTGGCCACTGTTTCGTGTAACTGCAGCACTCGAGTCAGGACTGCAATCCTCATAAGCACTAGACACATCGGTAAACATGGAGAGTGTGCACATGCACAGACATGATTCGTTGCCTCCCACCGGATCGCATGATCTCGCTCGTCCGGTAACGCAACGGTGCTGCACAGATCGATTGTGTACCCTTAGACATCTCTGTACAGGACTTATCCCGGAGACAAGTATATGCAACAAGCCTAGGAGACCTTACCACCGACTCTTAAACGTCAAACCTCCTATTCATTTATAAGGATCGGCCTCAACCCACAACCTGTGCAGCAGCAGCCTCGGGCAAATGTCTAGAACACATGCCCTCAGATCCAATTATAAATTGTTGTGCAAAAGCCAGCACATGCATCGGATGTTTCGTGTACACATGCTTGCATGCACTATAAGTTTCCAGCACATATATATATATATATGTCTACACATGATGTTTTAAACTAGCTTGCATCTTCCAGGATCGGGATGGCTCGTGTCAGAGGCTATTAGGGTTTTCCGGGTTGTTGGTGAGGGTGCTTTTCAAGATTGGGGGAGTCGGGTTTGGGGTGCATGGGTTCAGCTTAGGTTCCAGGAACCGAAACCACACCCTGAAAAAAATAATATACGAGCATATACCACGGTCTGGGTGCTCTGTATTACGCATCTTCCAGGAGCATGCATGCGTACATCACCGATGCATGTGTCGACACACGTTGTAAGATGCAACAGTCTGCAGTGCTACTTGGCTGTAGCGACAAACAGCAACGAGATATCGATCCAGATCGAGCCACGGATCTCCTTTCCCCTTACAGTCCTATGGCCAATACCCGAACACCCGTGACTAGAAATAAACATAATCCTACAATTAATTCACTCCAGTGACAAATGCTGCACAATAACCCCGAAACCCAACCCTTACATTAGCACCATATTGGGGTGCGATAGCAGCGGCGCTGTCGTTTTTTTTTTTTTGCGAGGGGAGAGCTGTTGTACACTGTCCTATATATATATATAACAGGACGTAAAGGGTTATGTGTTCGGGCTCTCGGGACTTCAGGCGTCTTTGCGCCATATTGGGGTGCGACAGCAGGGCTGATGTTTCTTGTTGGTTTTAAAGGGGGGCAGCTGTTGTACACCTTCGGGGCTTATATCTGTCAATAGGGTTGTGTGTTCGGGCTCTAGCCTGAGCCGGGTTATATATGTTGGCTTATATACCCGGAACGGACTAAGGCGTTAGTTAAGGTGGGTTCGGAAGTTTGAGGTCGGGGCTTCAGGAGTCGATGTGTGTTTTGGGTTTTAAAAGGGGCAGCTGTTGTTCATCGTCCGGGCTTATGTATTAATATTGTCTCTCGGGTTAATATTAATTGGGGCTCTATGTTGGCTTATATACCAGGAACGGACTAAGGCGCTAGTTAAGGTGGGTTCGGAAGTTTGAGCTCGGGGCTTCAGGAATCATTGCACCATATTGGGGTGCGACAGCAGGGCTGATGTGTGTTTTGGGTTTTAA